CCAACCCAATTTTAAGGTTATTTTTAAGTCAGAAATTGCTTTTCATAGTTCTCAACATTGTCAGTTGTGGTGGCATATACCTGTAATCCCAGAGATTCAGGAGTCTGAGGCAGGAGGATCGCAAGTTTGAGGCCAGCCTCAGCAACATAGCAAGGCCCTCAGCATTTTAGTGAGACCCTATCTCAAAATAAAAAACAAAAAGGGCTGGGGTCTTAGAGTCAGGAGGCAGCACATACAAGTCAGGTGTGACAGAAACCCACTTGAAGAACAGTTTTAGTAAATTCTCTGTTTCATCTAATGACACTTATTTTTAGGACTCTTTTTTTTTCCCCCAAAAGTACAAGTGAACTTTGATAGGATAATAGAGCGAGTTTAGAACTTATTGAGCTTAAAGAAGCTAGATCCTTTCCCGCTCCATAAAGTTGCTTTGAAAAGGTTATCGGTTAAAATAACTGTATAACACAAAACCCAATGTAAATACACAACTGCAAATATTGTTTGTAGTTATTTATTTAGATTTATTTAGATTGTTTTTATATGAGATAGTGCCTTTAAGTACGATTTCATGGCCCATCCATTACCACTCATTCTCCATTCATGCGTTCACTTAGTTCAAATAAGTTGAGATGAAGGTGAGCTCGGGAGACAAGTCAAAATAAGACGGCGGCAGCGGCAGACAACAGTCCTAAGAGAGGACAGCAAGAATGCTCCCTGCAGGTCTGCAAAACCTAATCCACTCCAGGGAAGTGGACGCTAACCGCTGAACAGCAGATGCAGACCCACAGGCAGAGGTTTATATATTTCTTAAATCGTTAATAAAGCAATTTTTAGCCCCTTTCCATATACAAAACATTTTAATAACCATTATCTAATTTAGTCCTCCTAGCAACAGTGTCAGTATACTGTGTTCCCATTTTATAGATGAAAACAATGAGGCCCAAGGGAGAATGACTGGTCCACTATCATACAATCAGAAGACAACAGAGGAAAACACTCAAACTAGGATCTTCCTCTCATTCAAGCTTTGTGTACAATCCTGCCATCACCAAATGTCACAACTGGAAGGGAGCATATTAAAGACCAAGGTTAGTCCTTTCATTTTATAAGCGTGGGAAATGGGCCCTGATTTGCCAGAGCTGGTACCCACCAGTACATAAGAGATCAGATCCCTGGTTTCTTGACAGTGTCCTATCTTTCCTCTTCACTTCCCTGTCTCAAAATGAAACACAAATGTTGGGCTGGGGATGTGGCTCAAGCAGTAGCGCACTCGCCTGGCATGCTTGCAGCCCGGGTTCGATCCTCAGCACCACATACAAACAAAGATGTTGTGTCCGCCGATAACTAAAAAATAAATATTAAATAAAAAAATTATCTCTGTCTCTCTCCCCCCCTCTCTTAAAAAAAAAAAAAGAAAAAGAAACACAAATGTTATACATATAGATCAGAGGATGCTAAAAGGTCACTGGAAATCAGACACAAACACCTGGTCCCTTTGAAACAGCAGGAGAGTTGGTGGCCACAATACTTGCTCTATTCCCAGGAGTCCTAAGGCTTTGAAGAGACGAAAATAAGCTCCTCCACACAAACAGAACCGCTTAGGAGCCCCCTCAGAACTGCCTGCCAGTATGTGCACAGCATACGCCTAGGAAGACACAATTATTAGTAACTTTTCTTCCTAGAGAAAAAAATTCCTGTCTACCTACTGCATTTAATCAATAAAACACCACTTCAGTGCGGTCCTCACCTGACCTGTATTTATATTTGGGTTTTATGGTTTCATAAATGATCCCATTTTGCAGTGAGCTTTCAATGGAAGGAGATTTTACAAACACCTAGATTAAGAGTCTATCCACCTGGTGTGGAGCCAACAAAGCAGTAAGTAGTTCCTGCTCTCAACAGTCAGTCAACCATGACAGTGAAATCCAAGAGGCTTGGAGACAGAGCTCGCTCTCCAGGCACTCAGTCCTACCACACGTGATAAAGCACTCCCGAATCAACAGCAATGTCATGGAAAGACACTCATCTCCACAAACCTGTCAGACAGGAAATCAGGCCAAATCCAACCATTTAGTGCAATAATTAATTCAATTTTGAAAAAAGATTACTGCAAAGGATGTTTGTATGGGAGGGAGGCTGTAGAAGGAGGAGCAAGTGGATGTGTTTCCTGAGTGACTAAACGAACTAAATGGATTTTTTCCTAGCCCTCCTGGTAAGTCTATGAGATCCCAGGAAGAAAATCAACTCACTTATCTTCTACAGGTGGTGGAACTCCACTGAGGTATACTGAGGTAGGGATGCCCACTGTGAGGCTCTTTGCTAGATACGCATCAGATTTCCAACAGTACGAACTCAATTCTGCCAATATAGGAACCCAGGAGGGGGGGGGATTTGTAAGCGTTAACTCTTAAAGAGAAAGGAGTTTTTTGAGATTCAGGAAGATACTCTAGGAAGAGGTGAGAAAGCAGCTGGATGGAGCATCCCTCCTCATCCTCCGAGGGCAGCAAGAGCTCCCCCTAACACTTTGCAGCTGAAGCAGGCAAAGAGCACTGCCCCTGGGTGCAGCCCAGGCACCTAACTCACCACCAACAAGTGCTGCCACAGAGCGACCTCTGCTTCAGAGGAAGGACTCCAGAAGGGACCACACTGCACACACTACAAAAGGTGGAATTTTTTTCTTTTAAAGTACTCTCACCTGAACTACGGCCAGTCTGCCTATTTACAGTGACCCCAGATTCTCCTGCTTGGGACCATATATACACCTGGCTCTTTGTAACTTGCCATATTTCAGATTTGAAGCAATGCTATCTATGCTAATTTCTACCTAAGCTCCCAAGACCAATACCCTGGGCATGAGATCAGCTATCACAGAAATACCAAGAGCAGAACAGAGTCTGATACTCTGGGTCTGATGCCTTCTCACAGGTACCTGCTCTCCTCCCTCTGATCAATATCATTGAGTCTTCCTTGAGAAACAGCAATCTCCGCCTTTCCTTGAATGGAAGGACCAGAGAGAAAACAATTGCCTTCAGTAAAATGTGGCCTATGCCCTGGTTGCTCAGAAAAGCTGCTGGCTTTCCCAGGGTATTCAGAAATGGCTCCCAGTTTCTTCTACCTTCTTGTTCAAGTCTTTATATACTGTTATTTCTGAATGGCTTTTTTTTCTTTCTTTCTTTTGGCCAGGTACTGGGGATGGAACCCAGGCCTTGCACATGCTAAGCAGGTACTCCCCCACCGAGCTCTACCCCAGCCCCACGGAATGACTCATGCCCTTATCAAGTCTTATCCCTATAAATCAACCAGGGAAAATTTGTCCTTGAGTCTAAACTTTAATGACTTTCCAAACTACATAATGCAGCATATCTTTTTTAGTGCAAGAAGCAGCACGAGTGCAGTTTGTAGCATATACTAGGAGGAATCCATCACATCCCCAACATGACTGTTTGTTTTGTGGTACTAGGAGATGAACCAGGCGTACTCTACACTGAGCTACACCCCCAGTTCCTTTTAAATTTCATTTGAAACAATCTCACTAAATTGCCAAGTTTGGCCTTGAACCTGTGACCCCCCTGCCTCACCTCCCGAGTAGCTGGGATTACAGGTGTACAGCACTGCACCTGGCTAACCATGCCTTATCAGCTCTGCTATCACTCGACAGTCTATGGAGTGAACATTTCTCTTGTCCTTCCACCCTGTCAACCCCAAGCAGGGCTAGTAAAGGGATTCTTGGCATTATTTTAATTCTTGCACCTCTGGCAGCTGGAGGTCAAACAACTTCATGGCTTTCCTTCTTACATAATGTCCTTTCTAAAGTACACATACACACAGACACAGTTTATTTATTTTTTTTTTCAACAGAACAAATCATCTGTGAAACCCAAATTGCTCTCACAGTCACAGGGTGTGTCAGGAATTCTGGCCACTGAAGTTCCCTGAAAATTACTACTCAAATACCTAAAAATACTTAAATTTAATTTCAGAATTTTAATGAAATCAACACATCTGTGTATTATACCAGGGTAAATTTTTCAATAAAATCCTCAGACAATATTTCTCCTTTCATGTTATGCTAAATTATATATACACATACATATAAAGATATGTATGTATATATACATATAAAGATGTATACATATATATATCCATATATGTGTGTGTATATATATATATATATATCTTTAAAATTTCATCCTTAACTTTCAAGGCTTAAAGGTAAAAAAATTTCCTTCTTTGAATCCCCTAAGCCTTCATTTCTATCATTTAGGCTTAGGAATAATTCTGAGGAAAAGAACGTTTTTTTTTTTTTTTTAGTAAGACAGAGTCTACGCTGCCCAGGTTGGTCCTGAATTCTTGGGCCCAATGATCCTCCTGCTTCAGCCTCCTTAGTAGCTGGCCTACAGGCATACACCACAGTGCCCATCCTGTGTAGTTTTGTTTTTTCTTTTCATGATGCTGGGGATCAAAACCAGGGCTTTGTGCATGTTAGGCCAGCCTTTATAGATGTGCTACGTTCCCAGCCCAATAGAACAGTTTTTTAAAAATCAAATAACTGCTCTAGAACAAGAGTTCTGGTTAGGCTAGGCACAGCGGGAAGTATAAATGGAGGTGGAAAAAAGCAGTAAGACTACATATAGCCCTTCTACCACAAATTACCCGGAGGGAGGGGCAAGAGGTAAAGTCATGGGTTGGTCTCTTTCACTCCTAGTAGCTGTCAGCAATGGGGCACCTGAAGGAAAAAAAAAAAAAAAAAAAAAAAAAACTACCCAGATCAAAGAAGAGAGATGTCCCAGTCTCCTTGGGAGGACGTGGCTGCTACAATCACGATGGAACAGGAGTGGAAACGGATTGCCAACTCCTTCAATGCTGGCTGTCACCTACAAAACTCAAGATAACAAAAAGCTTCTTTGATTTGTAAACTTGCACTCATAAATACAATCTCTCAAAATAGAATTCAGTGCATTCTTCAACAAGTCTTGTCAACAGTGATACACAACATCCTTTCCTTTGGAGTCAGTGCTGTTAAATGTACTACATAGCCATTTTCCAAAGCAACGGTACAGTTGAGAACAGGTGTTCGGAGGCAAGTGCTAATACTGCTGCTGTAGGGCGTGCACGTGTTAGGATCTGTGGAGGATCTTACTGAGGATCACATCATAGTAGGGGCAAAACACCATCTTGTTATAGTTGACCAGACGAATGAATTTAACAGCAATTTCCTCCAGCTCTTTCTGGACTGGACCCAGTCCCCCAGGAACTGAGGGCAATGGCTTCTGATGACCCGAGGCAAGGTAGGTTTCCAAGAAGGTCAGGATTCGGGATTCTGTCATGGAAAAGAAAAGGATTACTTGTTTCTCATTGAGGGTGGCTTTACAATCTTCTGATTATGCTTCAGTTCTTAGCTTAACCATCATCTCTTTGGGGAAGTCTTCTCCATTAATCCCCTAGATCAGACACTCAGCACCTTGCATGTCTGAACACTCATCCACTGCCAAGTTTTCTCTCCCCCGAGGATGATTGGCTTCTGGAAGACAACTGTACTTAACTTGTTTATCATTCTCTCCTCAGCACCCAGCACAGGGCCTGGCGTGAGATCTGGCCCCCAGGAGAAGATCAAACCACATTTGCAACGCAAGAACACACGTACAGATGAGTAAACAGAGAAAAGACCTGACATGTTCTGCTCCGAGGAGCAAGCACGCTGAAACCAACCTTAGCCACTGCTGAGATCACACACAAAGGAAAATGAAGCCAGAATTAAGAATTTGAAAAAGGAAGAGAGCCAGGTGAGATGGCACATGCCTGTAATCTCAGCTACTTGGAAGTTAAAGCAGGAAGATCACAAGTTTAAGGCTAGGCTGGGGATATAGTTTAGTGGTAGATAGCTTGTCTAGCATGTGCAAAGCCCTTAGTTCAATCCCAAGTGCAAATGAGAAGTAAGAAGGAGGAGGAGGAGATGAAGATGATGATGATTCTGGCACCACTGATTTATGATCTATTTTTTTCCTACTATACTCACACTAAAGGACCATGAGCTTCTTTCTTTGGCGCTGCCAATGGAAGGTCACAAAAGTCGTGGACATTTGCAAACTTATTCTACTTGGAGGATAACTTCAGCTAATGCATTTTTTAGCCCTTTTCCCTCTACCAGGCTTTTGCACTTTACTATGTAGCCTTATTGGTCAAATGAGATTTAATCAAGTCATAATTCTTATGTTTTATTATAAAAACAATATGGACATTTATATTGAATAGGCCTTTTCAAATGACATATCTCAGCCCTGGGGCAAGAGTATCCTCTTTGGTGCAAACAACTTATACTTTCTGAACCCAACTCCACACTGGCAGTGAAGCTGCTGCTGACCTGCCCCAGCACTCCTGAACCTGAGGGAGTCTGGTTCTTTAAGGTCCCTGAGCTGGAAGTTTCATCCAGAAGCGCAGCTCCTCTTACCATCCTACCTAGTGGCTGCTTGCGATCCCCACATGTATTAACTGGCTATTAGAAAACCACCAAGATGTGCTTGGCATGGCGGTACACACTTGCCCCCTCCCAGTGGCTCAGGACTCAGACAGGAGTATCGTGAGTTCAAAGCCAGCCTCAGCAACTTAGCGAGACTCTATCTCAAAAAATAAAAAATAGAAAAGGGCTTGGGAATGGCCCAGTGGTCAAGCACCCATGGGCTCAATCCCCGGTACCAGAAAAACAACACAACCGAGATGGCAGGATGAGAAGCACCTTCCCAGACCTCTTTCCAGACACTTCTCTGCCTTCTACCAAGACCAAGTATACTAACGATCCAAGGGCCCTGCAAGATCCGCAGGAGCTGCCTCTTCAGTGACTCACTAAACTGTCACCAACAAAGGGCTCGAATAAAGTAGGCTTAAAACTATATATATACACTGAGGCTTGATCCAAGACGGCGGGCTAGAGGGAGGCTGCAATCTCTGTGCTCAGGGACTTGTGATTCAAGTAGTGGGAATACTGTTTCTCTGCGAGTGATTAGAGGACCCCCAACAGCTGCTCCCACATGGCTGCAGTGCTGTGCAGGACTCCCGGTCACTCTTTCACACAGGATCTTTGGGTGTCCGAGTAGGACCACTGGCATTATTAGCACCTGTGTAGGACTTTTGGCCACCGACCTGTGCAGGAACTCTGGCGCCACTCCCATGTGGACCCCATTTACCAATGTGAGGCTCCCCAGTTGCCTCCATCTTGGGGCACTGCAACCCTACATGCTGTAAACCTGCATCTGGGGACACTACACCGGATCAGGAGACAGCCACCAGCCACAATACTGCAGGCCACAGGGCTGCATCTCTGAACACGCTGCTCAACGCATCGCCCAGTCCCACCCGACCCAACACCCCATTGCTGAAAGCAGCTGCCTCCATCATGGGACACCTTCATCGCCATCATTGGTTGACTCCCAACTCGGAACACTGGCTGGAGTTTAGGAGTACTATCAAGGTATGGAAAGTCCCCACCTCCCCCCTCTGCCCGGCAGCTGCTAACCCAGCACAGTGCTTGAGGCTACGTGGCCGAAGCTCACCAAACAGGGTCGTGAACTGCCCAAGATAAAACAGCTTTCCGTGACAGGTGCACAGCCCCCCAAGACCTCTGGAGAGAAAGGTTCCTGATTGGGAAGTAGAAGAGGGGTGGTGGAGGGGTGAGATACAGTTTAGAGACTAAATTAGAGATTAGGAATTGCGAAGTCTATAGGGAATAAGGAGATAAGACCAGGTGCCCACTTCACATTATCAGGCCCAAGGAGATCCTTGGGGTGCAGTCTCCCATTGGGACAGCAAGTGCTATAATCCACCTCCAGGAGCTCTGCCCCCAAGACTAACTCTCCCCACTAATAAGCTTCACCATCCTGAGGGTGGAGACACCAGCAAACAACAGACAACCCCACCGACTGGATGAGAAGGGAAGTTGGAAAGATACTGATCTCCAACAGAAACAACCTTGTATTTTCCTGAGATTTTTTTTTTTCTCTCTCTTCTCCCACCCTCACATCCCCAACATTTGTGAAACCAAGCACTTTCCATGAATTAGGCTACTGAAGACTGGAATGTCTGAATAGTATATTACAGCAGTGGTGTATATTCTTTTATCTCCTATTTTTACATTTTTAAATTTTTCTTAATATTTATGTTTATTTTTTGTACTCCACTGTCTTCCCATTTACTTGTCTCCCCAAAATCACTCTCTTTCTCTCTTCTCCTGCTACTAACCATTTTCTTTAGATTTCTCTTTCACGCTAAGATCCAACTCTATATCCTCACCTCCTAGCCCCTCAACATCTTTTTTTTTTTTTAGTTTTTGATTTTTTAGTTGTAGTTGGACACTATACCTTTATTTTATTTATTTATTTTTATGTGATGCTGAAGATCGAACCCAGGGCCCTTGCACGTGCTAAACGAGTGCTCTACCACACTGAGCCACACCCTGGCCCCCACACCCAACATCTTATCCTACACCTCATCCCTAGTTCTTTGTCTACCATTCGAAACTATAAACCCTTCTGCAAACCTATTGTTTATATTGTAGATTATAACTGAACTTACCATTTCTGTATATTGTTACAAAACTGTAAACGTCTTTATAGCAGCTAATTGGTTTAAGGTTGTATATTGTTTCTGTTGGGATCCGTTCACATTGTTCTCCCCCGTAAAAGAGAGATACTGGAAGCCTGCAGGGACACTATAAACCTATAGGGTAAAAACTGTAAGGCCTCAGATCCACAGTGCTAGAAGGGAAGACACATGGACAACATGAAAAAACAAGGGAAGAAAATGCCCCCAACAAACCAAGACATTACATTCTTGTAATGTCAAAAGAAATGTCAGACAGGGAGTTCAGGATGTACATAATTAAAATGTTCTGTGAATTAAAGGATGATATAAGACAGCAAATACAGGCAATAAAAGATCATTTGATAAAGAGCTACATAAGAAAATATAGGAAGCAAAAGATTACATCAATAAGAAGAAAGAGGTTCTGAAAAAAAATTGCAATGAAAGAAACAATAAACCAAATTAAAAGCTCAAGAGAAAGTATCACCAACAGATTATATCACTTGGAAGACAGGACCTCAGAAAATGAAGACAAAATATATAATTGGAAAGAATGTTGACCACACAGTAAAGATGGTAAGAAACCATGAGCAGAACATTTAAAAGACCAAATTTAAGAATTACTGGGATAGAGGAACGCACAGAGTTCTAAATCAAAGGAATAAACAATCTATCCAATGAAATAATATCACAAAATTTTCCAAACATGAAGAATGAATTGGAAAACCAAATTCAAGAGACTTACAGGACACCAAATATACAACAAAATCAAAAAACAGATCCACACCAAGGTACATTAGAAAGAAAATGCCTAACATACAGGATAAAGAGAGAATTTTAAAAGCAACAAGAGAAAGGAATCAGATTACATTTAGGGAGAAATCAATTAAGATATCTGCAGATTTTTCAACCCAGACTAGAAGATCCTGGAACAACATATACCAAGCTCTGAAAGAAATGGATACCAACCAATAATCTTATATCCATCAAAATTAAGCTTTAGATTTGATAATGAAATAAAAACCTTCCATGATAAACAAAAGTTAAAAGAATTTACAACTAGAAAGCCTGCACTGCAGAACATCCTTGGCAAAATACTCCATGAGGAAGAAATGAAAAATAATAATGAAAATCAGCAAAGGGATGTATTAACAAAAAACCAATCAAAGGAGAAACCAAATCAAGTTGAATAATAAAAATACACAAATATGACTTGGAATACAAATCATGTCTCAATAATAACCCTGAATGTTAATGGCCTAAACTCACCAATCAAAAGACACATACTGGCAGATTGGATTTCAAAAAAAAAAAAAAAGGACCCAACAATATGCTGCCTCCAAGAGACTCATCTCATTGAAAAAGACATCCACAGACTGAAAGTGAAAGGTTAGGAAAAAAACATACCACTCACACGGATTGCAGAAACAAGCAGGGGTTTCCATCCTCATAGCAAATAAAGTAGACTTCAAGCCAAAGTTAATCAAAAGGGATAAAGATGGACATGTCATACTGCTTAAGGGAACCATACACCAACAAGGCATAACAATTATAAATACATATGCCCCAAACAATGGAGCATCCACATTCATCAAACAAACTCATCTCAAGTTCAAGAGTCAAATAGACGACAACACAATAATTTTGGTGACTTTAACACACCTCTTTCACCACTGGATAGATCTTCTAAACAAAAGCTAAACAAAAAAACTAAACTACAGAACTCAATAATACAATCAATAACTTAGATTTAACAAACATATATAGAATATTTCATCCTTCAGTGTACGAATACCCTTTCTTCTCAGCAGCACATGGATCCTGCTCTAAAATAGACCATACATTATGCAACAAAGTAACTCTTAGCAAATACAAAAAATTAGAGATACTACCCTGCATTCTATCAGATCATAATGGAATGAAATTAGAAATCAATGATAAAATTTAAAAAAAGAAGCTACTCCAACAGCTAGAGACTAAATAATAGGCTACTGAATGAACCATGGGTTGCAAAAGTCATCAAAGATTAAAAAATTCTTAGAGGTAAATGAGAATACGGACACAACATATCTAAATCTTTAGGACACTATAAAGGCAGTACTAAGAGGAAAGTTCATTGCATGGAGTTCATTTCTTAAAAGAAGAAAAAGTCATCAAATAAATGACTTAACTACATCTCAAACCCTAGAAAAAGAAGAACAAACCAACACCAAAAGGAGTAAAAGATGGGAAATAATTAAAATCAGAGCTGAAATCAATGTAATTGAAACAAAAGAAACAATTGAAAAAAATTGATAAACCAAAAGGTTGGTTCTTTGAAAAATAAATAAAATTGATAAACCCTTAGCTATGCTTATAAAGAGAAGGAGAGAGAAAATTCAAATTACTAATACCCATGATGAAAAAGGAAATATCATAACAAACACTACAGAAATACAGAAAATAATTATAAATTATCTTGAAAATGTGTACTCCAACAAAACAGAAAATATCAAAGGCATTGACAAATTTCTAGAGTCCTATATTGTGCCCAGTCTGAATCAGGATGATACACACACAAGTTAAACAGATCAATTTCAAGCAAAGAAATAGAAGACGCCATCAGAAGCCTACCAACAAAGAAAATCCCAGGACCAGACATACAGCTGAGTTCTATAAGACCTTCAAAGAAGAACTAATACCAATACTCCTCAAATTATTTCATTAAATCGAAAAAGAGGAATACTTCCCAACTCATTTTATGAGATCAATATCACCCTGATTCCAAAACCAGGCAAAGACATCAAAGAAAGAAAACGTGCAGACCAATAACTCTAATGAACATAGACGAAAAAATTCTCAATAAAATTCTGGAAAATCAAATACAAAAACAGATTTTAAAAGATAGTGTACCATGATCAAGTAGGATTCACACCAGGAATGCAAGGTTGGTTCAACATACAGAAGTCAATAAATATAATTCATCACAACAATAGACTTAAAGATAAGAATCATATGATCATCTCAACAGATGCAAAAAGAGCATTTGACAAAATCCAACAGCCCTTTATGTTCAAAACACTAGAAAAACTAGGGAGAACAGGAAAATATCTCAACATTGTAAAAGCTATCTATACTAAGCCCCAGGCCCACATCATTCTAAATGGAGAAAAATTGAAAGCATTCCCTCTAAAAACTCTGGAACAAGACAGAAATGCCCTCTTTAAACACTTCTATTCAATATAGTACTTGAAACTCTAGCCAGAGCAATTAGACAGATAAAAGAAATTAAAGGGATAGAGACAGGAAAAGAAGAACTCAAACTATCACTATTTGCCAATGAGATGATTCTATACTTAGAGGATCCAAAAAATTCCACTAGAAAACTTCTAGAACCAATAAATAAATTCAGCAAAATAGCAGGATATAAAATCAACATCCATAAATCAAAGACATTTCTGTACATCAGTGACAAATCCTCTGAAAGAGAAACTAGGAGCCATTTACAATAGGCTCAAAAAAAAAAAAAAAAAAACACTTGGGAATCAATTAACGAAGGAGGTTAAAAACCTTTACAATGAAAATTACAGAATGATAAAGAAAGAAATTAAAGAAGACCTTAGAAGATGGAAAGATCTCCCTTGTTCTTGGACAGGCAGAATTAATATTGTCAAAATGACCATACTACCAAAAACACTATACAGATTTAATGCAATTCCAATCAAAATCCCAATGACATTCCTCATAGAGATAGAAAAAAGCAGTCACGAAATTCATCTGGAAAAAAATAAAAGACCCAGAATAGCTAAAGCAATCCTTAGCCAGAAGAGTGAAGTAGGTGGCATCACTATACCAGAACTTAAACTATACTACAGAGCAATAGTAACAAAAATATCATGATATTGGCACCGAAATAGACTTGTAGACCATGGTACAGAATAGAGAACACAGAGACAAACCCACATAAATAGGGTTATCTCATATTAGACAAAGGCACCAAAAACATACATTAGAGAAAGGATAGCCTCTTCAACAAATGGTGCCAGGAAAACTAGAACTCCATATGAACAAAATGAAATTAAGCATGTATCTCTCACCATGCACAAAACTCAACTCAAAGTGGATCAAAGACTTAGGAATTAAACTAGAGACCCTGTGTCTTGATCTTCCTGACTCAGCCTCCCACGTTGCTGCAATTACAGGCAAATGCCACCAGCCCAGCTAAAAAGTCATAGTTTTTAGAGCAGTCCTGTATCTGAAATATAACCACAGACTATCCAGCTTCTGACTGATACCTGCTAATTTTCCATTATTTATTTGTTTAACACTTGTTCTCAAAGAATTTGAAGGGCTTCAAATTAATTCAATTTCAATTTTAAATGTTGAACACTGTATTCCTTGATCAACCAGAATATAATTTTTCTCTTTTTTCTTTCTTTCTTTCTTTTCTTTTTTTTTTTTTTTTGTGGTGCTGGGGATTGAACAGAAGGGAAGGCCTTGTGCATGCAAGACAAACACTCTACCAACTGAGCTATATCCCCAGCTCCAGAATAGAATTTTTCTCTACCAAGCTTTATTAATTGACAAGTTATATGTAGCATACAACATGTTTTGATACATGTATATACTATGAAATAATTAAATTAAGCTAAATAATAGAGAATTCTTCATAGTACCACTGCTATTATGATAAAATTAGCTAATATTGATTTTTTTTCTTTTTATTTTTTTGGTAAAACTGAGGACTGGACCCAGGGCCTCCCTGACGCTCAGCAAGCACCACTAAGCTACATCCCCGTCCCTTTTGTTATTTTATTTTGAGATGAGGACTGACTATGTTGCCCAGGCTGGCCTTGAACCTCTGGGCTCCAGCCATCTTCCTGTCTCAGTCTCCTGGGACTATAGGCACACAACACTAAGCCTAGCTAATATTTAATAATATTTTAATAGTATTTTTATTTTTAATTTTTATATCAAAGTTTTAATTTTTTAGCTATTTCAATTATTGCATTATTTACTGAGTACTTACCATGTGCTGCCAGGCATAATGGCAAGTACCTGACATATCTACCTTCTCACAGGTGGTCCTCCCAGTAACCTGGGCAGGTGGTTGGTATGATCCGCTTTTTAAAGTTCCTTGCCATGCCACACAATAAGTGCTGGAGCAGAACTCTGAACCACGTTTTGAGATTCCAAAGTCCATACCCTCAGGACAATGATGGCTGTGCAGTCACTTGCCATCTTTGAAATCACCCTGATCACAATGGTGATGAATCACACTCCATCCTTACCTGCAGCACTCATTATCCCAGAAACCCTCTCAGATTTCTTCAGAGGGGCCTTCCCCTAACCCCCTGCTACATGCCTTCCCTCAAACATACCCATGATTCTGCGAATAGGGTCATCAGGACTGGCCACAGCCAGGATCTGGCCTTTGAGCGCGGTCTCTTTGTCCGTGGAAAAGGGGGAGGACCCACACAGTGAGAGGCAGCTGCTCACCTCCAGGCACACTTTCTCCCCAATCGTAGTCAGGGCATCCTCCAAATGGAAGGAACTGAGCAGAGAAAAGAAAGGAAGACAGGAAGAAGCAACCCATGGATACAGTGCTCCAGCTCCATCAGCCCTGCCTGGCAAGGGTGATACCACCAAGGAGCGGATTGATGTGTTAAGGGGGAATCTGTGGCTGTCTCTCTTGCTCCTTACCACTCAAGCTGTGCACATCAACTGCAAAGGACTTTCCTTCCTTCCACTAGAAAGGACAGCGAGGAGGGGATGGGCTCAGACTATCCCAAGACAAATAACCCAAAGCACAAGTTCTTGCTAGCATCTCTGAGGTGAAATAAGCCTGGAACTGACTTATAAATATTCTGAAACACCTCTGGAGGAATACACAATACCAGGAAATTCGTAGTCATGGAACGGGAATGGATATCCTTTTATACCTTTTGAGTTTTGAAACATTGAGTGCATTAACTTTTTTTAATATTTATTTTTTAATTGTAGTTGGACACAATACCTTTATTTTATTTATTTATGTGGTGCTGAGGATCAAACCCAGGGCCTCCCATGTGCTAAGTGAGCACTCTACCGCTGAGCCACAACCCCAGCCCAACTTTTTTCTTTTAGTGGTACTGGGGATGAAACCCAGTACCTCAGGCTAGTACTCTACCACTGAGTTACATCCCCAATACATTAACTATTTTTTTTTTAATTTTTAGTTGTAGATGAACATATACCTTTATTTCATTTTCTTTTTATATTTTTATGTGGTGCTAAGGATCAAACCCAGTGCCTCTCACATGCTAGACAAGTATTCTACCACCTAGCAACACCCCCAGCCCCACATTAACTATTTTTAAAAGAAAAAAATAAAATAAGCACCTTGATTTTGATTCCCTGGGGCCCTAAGACTCTCCTAGAGCACCTCTGGGAACCAGATGGTCATTTAATGTTGAGCTATTTTAACAATAGCTGTCATTTTTTGAGCTTACTCTATTAGAAATTAAGGTTTGCTCTGGATCTAGATCCTCTGTACAGTAGAACTACTGGGGAGTGAGAGAGCAAGCCTTGGGCTTCACTGCCTCCATCAGCTCAACTCCTTGCCAGATCCCTGACTGCCAGGGTGGATAGGGAGCACAGGGCCAGACTCCCCAAAAGCACTGGCAGGGCCCCTCATTGTTAGTTTTGCAGAGCAGTTCTACTGGCAGGGGACCTAGCTGACAGCCTCTGGCTACACCTGGGCAAGGGCCTTGGGCTAGGCCTCAGTTGAACAGCCAACCCCTACTCACAACACGGAGAAACATCCAGATGGCACTGAACACACCCACCCTCTGCGCAAGCGCCACAATAAAATCCCTCCATTTTGTAAGAATGAGAATGCCCCAGGGTGCTTCTTTGGAAGAATCCTCTGAATTGGGCCTTGTCAGATACGGGGTTTACTCAGAACCATTCAAAATGTTTCATATGCTGTAAGTCATCTAACAGGGCTTCACCACAGGAGTACTCGCTGAATGAATCCTGTAAGCCCACAGTTGTGAATTCTGCTGGGCAATAAAATGACACGCTCATACTCAACACAGGACACCTGTCAGGAATGTGCAAAGAGCAGAAAAGTCCATCTCACCTGTACCTCTGGAGTAATCATCTTGTTTCTTCTAATGACCTCTCTCTTCTAAGAGCTCCAGCAGGGGCAGTTGACTGTCCTGGGGACTGGGTTGTTGTTGGTCTCTAAGTCTGGTCATTTTTTTTTTGGCTGGGGGTTGAACACAAGGCCTCGGACACACTAAGCAAGTGCAGTACACTGAACTACACAGGCCCAGGGCTGCGTAGTTGCTAGCTGGTTGTGAAAGCAACTCAGTGTGCAGCAGATAGTACTTTTTTAATGGAGTAAGAATTGGGTAGAAACTATTAGGATACATCAAACATAACTGGGTTAAGTTCCATCTTTGTGAGGTTTTAATTTCAGTTACATATGTATGTAAGTAATAATGGAAAATGAATTTTTTACTGTGGGTCCTAATCACAAATATCTGAAAACCACTATCCCAGAGCCTTATTATATATACCTAAACATCTGACCCTATTGCCTGAATTAACTCTCCTGCGCTCTCATCACGTGAGCAGTCAGGGGATCAGGATCTCTTCTCAGCTCCTTGAGGGCCTAACACTGGGAGGCCCTACTCTGATCTGCTCTCTGCCCCCAATCCCATCCATCCACTAAAGGTCTTCCCCACAGTTCCCAGCCACTTACGGCAGATGCATATCAGTTAGCAGAATCTTCACAATCATCTTGAGTTTCTCAGCAGCGTTGGCCTGGCTAGAAATTCCACGGGCTGCCATGTTGAACGTGACTAGCAGCACAGCTCCCAGGATGGTCAGCTGCTCTAGCTGGAGCTGGAGCTCCTGGAAGCGTGGATGGTCCATCAAAACCGTCTATAATGAACACAAGTCACTGCTGAGCTGAAATTTGTACTGGCCAGCAGAGGGCGATGAGGCCACATAGCCTCCCACCCACCTCTACAGCTTCCTCAGGATTTCCTAGTCATCTCAGAGCTACAGGGCAGATGTGAGTGAACTGTCCTTCCACTCCAGTGCCCCTTTCTCCTGAGGAAGTCTGTAGTAGCACAGCACACTTCTGAAAAGCCTGAGACAGATCTGGGTGGAAATCCAGACTGTGTCACTTCACAGCAGCACAACCTGACAGATTTCCTCAACTCTTGGGCCTATGCAAAATGGGGAGTCCTACTTTACAGGACTGTTTGAATGATGAAAAAACATGCACATCAAGTGGGTGGCAGAGCCAGCACTTAACACAGAAGAATCATAGCACTAGAAAGGACAGAGGAACAACCAACTCCTCCCAGTTTGTCTAGGACTGTCCCAGTTCTAAAAAGGAAACTCCCAAGTCTAGCAAGTCCCCCACAAACCTGGACAGCCTCCCTGCAGCCTAACAAAGGGGAGGAGTTCCTTGAGGGCAGAGCCCTGGACAGCTCAGTATCTAGCTCACAGGAGTCTCTAGAGAACTAGAAAGTGAATGAAGAATAAGAAACAGCGAACAGAGCAGGACTGACAGATCATAGCCTCCTGGAAAGCAGTCAACGAGTGAATTACCATGACCGCTTCTCGTGTGTGAAAGACAGCTCTCGTCCTACCATGCCAAAGACCTGCGTGGGGTACAAGAAAGAGCAGCAGAAAGACTGAGCTACTCTAGTTTCAGACCCCAGTTCCTACAGGCTGGCTAATCAAATGCACTTTAAGGACTGATCTGGCTACAAAATAGTGGGGTTGTCAAATCAAGACATTAACTATTTGGGGTCAGAGCCCAAACTTCTTCTCAAAACGAAAAACTACCTCTGAAGATTGGACATGCCTAGTTCTTAAACAGATTGGTTCCACTGACTTGTCAGCCTCTTTTAGCCCACTGTGCTACACAGCAGTGAGTGCACTTGGCTTTGTGGTCTCTCAACAATGTATATACTTGAGTTTAGAGTGAAAAAGATTTTCAGGGATCAAAAAAAAAGAAAACCACAAAATGGACTGGGGATATAGCTCAGTTGGTAGAGTGCTTGCCTCACATGCACAAGGCTCTGGGTTCAATCCCTAGCACCACACACAAAAAAAAAATCCAAGGATTAATTTCAAGAGCAGACCTCTGTCCCCAGTAAAAACCGCAGCCATCTTTTAAGAGAAATGTCAGGTTAAGAACTTTCCAGAAAAGCACATGGCACTATTCAGAGAGGAACACAGCCCCACCAGTTCAACACCCTCTTTAGATCCTCCTCCAGCACAAAAGGCAACGCCTGTCAAGAGGAGAAACTTACAACTTCTTGAAAGGAAAATTAAGGAAGTTCTGAGAGACATTTAGAGAAGTAGCAGGATCTGAGATTAGAAACAAGGAGTTCAAGCATCCTCAAAAAAAAAAAAAAAAAAGAGAGAGAGAGAGAGGGAGGAAGAGGGCACACATCAATTTAGCCATTTACAGACAAAATGAGGGAATCCCATGCTAGTCATCCCCTTAAATGACTGCTGTCGTTAGAAGCACTGGACATTGCTCAGCACAGAAGGGAAAGAAGTTTCTTTAGATAAAGCTGTAATGCAACACCACTGGTGTGATTTTGATCAAGATGAGTAAAAACAGGATAAAAATTCAGCAGCACAAACCGAAAGCATCGTACCTTACTGGTGGGATTGTAAAATGATGCAGCTGCTTGAGGAAAGTTTGGTAGATCCTCAAAATGTTAAGATTAGACTCACCCATTAATTCCAATCCTAAATATGTAACCAAGAGAATTGAAAGTGTATTCCACACAAAATGTTATATAAACGTTCACAAAAGCATAATTCAAAATAATAAAGTGGAACTGAAATATGCACCAACCGAGGAATAATAAACAAATGTGGTCTATCCACATAGCAGAAATATTACTCAGCCTTAAACAAGAAGGAAATGCTGACACATGCTGCAACACAGATGAACCTTGGCATTAAACAAAATAAGCTAGGCACAAAAGGACTAATAGTGTGTGGTTCCACTTTATATAAAGTATCAAGAATGGTCAAATTTATAGGTTCACAGTAGAATGTTGGGTGTTAGGAGCAGCGTGATTGGAGAACTACTGTTTGATGGTAGAAAGATTTTTTAAAAAATATTTTTAGTTGTAAATGGATCTTTTATTTATTTATTTATATGTGGTGCTGAGGATTGAACCCAGGATCTCACACATGCCAGGCAAGTGCTCTACCACTGAGCCACAACCCCAACCTTAATGGTAAAAAGTTTTATAGTTTGGAAAAATGTTCTGGAGACAGATGATAATAATGGCTATACAACAATATGAACATACTGAATTCCACTGAACTGTTCACTTAGAAATGGTTAAAATGGTAATTATATGGAATGTACATTTTACTGCCATAAAAAAAATACAGTGGAGGGGCTGGGGTTATGGCTCAGCCTTGGTTAGAGCATTCGCCTTGCATATTGAACCCGAGGCCCTGGGTTCAATCCTCAGCACCACATAAAAATAAATAAATAAAATAAAGATGTTATGTCCATCTACAACTAAAAAAAATAATAATACAAACAAAAACAAAAGGAAAACAAAAACAAAGGGCGCCAGGCATGGAGGTGCAGGCACGTAATCCCAGCAACTCAGGAGGCTAAGGCAGGAGGATTGCAAGTTCGAGGCTGGCCTTGGCAATTTAGTGAGGCTCTGAGCAACTCAACAAGACCCTGTCATAAAATAAAAAGTAAAAAGGGCTGGGAATGTAGCTCATTGGTAAAGGGCCCTTGGGTTCAATCTCCAATACCAAAATTTGAAATATAAAAGGAAAAATAAAAGGAATGAAGTACTGATATATGCTACAACATGGGTAAATATTATGTATCATGAAAGAAACCAGGCACAGAAGACCACTATTGTATATTTCCATTTATGTGAAATTTCTAGAATAGGCAAATCCCTAGAGACAGAAAGCAGGGATTAGAGGGAAGGGAAAGGGAACGGACTACAATGGGTATGGTGTTTCTACTGGGGGGAAAGAAATGATCTAAGTTAAATAGCAGTGATGATTGTGTAACTGCAAATATACTTAAAACCACTGAGTTGTATGCTTTAAGAGAGAACTTGGGGTATATGAATTATATCAAAATAATGCTATTCTTTTTAAAAAGCTCAGCTGCACAAAAAGAAGTATGAGCAATTAGATTATCCAGGAGCACCTACTTCAGGGAAAGGTCTATGGAGGTGGTCCCATTTCAGAAGCTTCAAGTATGCATAATTCTGGATGGCGACAGGGCTCAGCATGGGAGCGTCCCCAGAGCCAGCAGCCCCTCCCCCAGCTGGCAGGGCATGTTTGTACTTCTGAGCCATAAGTTCATCTGAGGCTTCTTCTAACCACTGGGTGACAAAGTCCAGGGAATCTGTGAAAAGCAAAGCCACAAACATTACTATAACACTAGCAGGGATGCTTCTCATAATTACTTTAGGGAAGATGAGCCTGGCGGTGTGAGATTACAGTGTAGACTGAACTTTGGGATCAAATAGAACTTAGTCCAAATCACAGATTATCTGTTACTAGCAAAATGATCTCAGGTAAGTCATCATCTGTCTGAATATCAGAGTCCTGAATAAAGAAATTCACCACATCCACCTCCCAGGCTATTGTGATACCATGCCAAGACAGGCCTTGCCACCTGCCAGGTGTTTAGCAAACCATTCTCCTCTCCTGTCCTACAGGAGATGTGGCTGAAAGCGCTAATGACTCGAGATCCATGAGATGGCAAATTTCTTGCCCAAAGACAGCTGGGCCAAGACACCAGCAGAAGTCAACTATTAACATATCCTCCACATCACAAAGGGCTTCTTCTTCATCTAGGTCTTACTCTCAAATCAATCTGGTTTGCTTGGGACCTCATCATGTTTGATGTGTATGTAATTCTGTGCAGGGAACACTCAGGGGATCCTCATCGGGCTTTCATCAGCCATCATGCTCCCCTGACTTTTCTGAGCTGAATAATTTAGCAAGCAGGTACCCTAAGGGATGCAGAATTTTTTTTTAAATTTATTTTTCTTCCCATAGGATTCTTTTCTCCCCAGTACATTTCCCCTACTAACTTAGGTGGGTTAAGCCCAAATTCTTGAGAGAGAGGGGGGGGGAGGGAGAGAGAAAGAGAGAGAGAATTTTTTTAATATTTATTTTTTAGTTTTCAGCAGACACAACATCTTTGTTTGCATGTGATGCTGAGGATCGAACCCAGGCCGCACGCATGCCAGGCGAGCGCACTTCCGCTTGAGCCACATCCTCAGCCCAGAGATGCAGAAATTTTGAACATGAGGATCTTGTCCACATTATGACCAAAAAAAAAAAAAAATGCAGCTGTGAAATCCTGGAGGTATTGCAGTTCTGCCAATAGGGGTCTCCTATCGACCAAGTGGGCAGCCGAGGTCATATCAATAGCCCTGCTGCAGGAGGATGTGCCTCTCTTCTCTGCCAGTGCACTGATTCCCCAGAGCTCTCTCTCAGTTCTGACTCCTGGGTCATCTGGCCTCACTCTGCTGTTAGCCTTCTACAGACAACATTCTCTGTGTCTCACCAGCTCTGGAAATCCTGCACTGTACATATGGACAAGTATAGACCTGGACTGATGGATTACAGCAGTGCTCCCATATCCACAGTGAGTCCTGCTGCACTTTGGCTTCTGGGACCTGGTTCTAACACTAGGCACTTCAGTTTGTCAAACTGCAACCCTGGGTGCCTCCCAGTGTAAGAGCTTCTTCTGTGACTACTTTACTCTGCTCTTTCTTGACTCCTTCTGGCTCTCAGCATCCCTCAGACTTCTCTGTCTGGATTAAATTACTCAACTGGTAAAAGAACTGATTTGACTAATCTGGTCAGGCAGCACCATCTAGACAGATAGGGCCATTTTTATTTGTCACCAGTAAAGCTGGAGACCCAACAGGATTCATAAGAAACTAGATCTGAAGACTGAAATTTACCCAGAATATCAGCTACTGATACAGAGACCAAAGAAAGCATACTAGAAATGAAACAGTTTTAGATTCTGTAGTCATCTGTTTTCCTGCATTCATCTGAGAGGCTCATAAAAATGAGATTTTTCCTGTGTATGAAACCAGAAAATTATACACATAAGGAAGAAACAAAGTCAAATTTCCTGCCTTACCTCACAGGGAGGGAAGAAAGTGAATGAACATTCACAAGAAGTTTGTCATGGTTTCAAAGTCAAGACCAAGAATATCATTTACCTCAAACTGGTATTTTCATTAAAAAAAAAATTTAATTTAGGACATCGTCATTCTTTTTCCTTTCCTATTCTTATATCCTACCACACTGCTCTGGCTTGTCAATTAAATCTTCTTTTCAATGCTTAATTCTAGATGTAGCCCCAATATCTTGTGCTTTTACTTCTTCATTAGAATTTTTTAAAAATTTTTTTTAGGGCTGGGGTTGTGGCTCAGTGATAGAGCGCTCATGTAGCATATGCCAGGCCCTGGGTTCAATCCTCAGCACCACATAAAAATAAACAAATAAAATAAATATATTGGAAAAAAAATACTTTTTTAGTTGTAGGTGGACACAATACTTTTATTTTATTTTTATGTGGATCAAACCCAGTGCCCTCCACATGCAAGGTGAGCACTTAACCACTGAGCCACAATCCCAGTCCCAAATTAGAATATTTTCATAATTTTAGTTTTGTTTTGAAAACAATGTTATATAACAAAAGAAACAAGTATGAAGACATGAATGGTGTGAATATACTTTGTATACAACCAGAGATATGAAAAATTGTGCTCTATATGTGTGATATGAACTATGATGCATTCTGCTGTCATATATAAAAATTAGAATAAAAAATAAAATAAAAATTCTAACGGGGGACTGTTTTAATTGTGGCAAACCTGGACACATGGCCAGAGATTGCAAGTAGCAACCAGGATAAAAAAACAAGCCAGGAATGTGTCTGCGTTGTCAGCGAGGATGGCACTGGGCTATTGAACATAAATTGCTGACTGACGCGCATGGTCTGTCCTTGCTTCTCTCTTTGGTAAAAGGGAGGTAGGTCCAGCCCTGGCCCCGTCAAATAATGAGGGCCCTGTCAGTCAATCTGGAGCAGCCATTCACTCCAGCCCACTCTCTGGTCTCTACATTCCAGGCCATTACTAGCCATGACTGGAATCGCAGGCCTGGACCTCAGCACCCCCACAAACCCCCACCCCCGCAAAAAAACAATATTGTTATACAACAAGTTACAGCAACTAAAAGGAAAATCAAAAACGAATCACCAACAATGAAAAAGCAACACAAAGCATTGAACATACTCGGCTGTTTCTCCAAAAGCTCTTGAAATTTCTTCCTCTCATACTCAACCGACTGCTGCATGAGATGTGGCCGAATGCTTGTGACAGCAAAATTCGCCATGTCTACTTTCATTAGATCTAACACAGAAAAAATTGCCCTGAAAGAGAATAGATAAAAGAATTCAAAACCAGACACCTGTAAAGTACAAACACTTTAAAGAAACAGAAGTGAGCCGGGAGCACACCTGTAATTCCAGTGACTAAGGAGGCAGAGACAGGAGGATCCCAAGTTCAAGGCCAGCCTCAGCAACTTAGAAAGTCCCTAAAAAACTTTGCGAGACCCTGTCTCAAAATAAAAAACAAAAAGTTCTGTGGATGTGGCTCAATGGTTAATCCCCTCTGGGTTCAATGTTTGGTACCAGAAAAAGAAAGGACAGCAAGAAAAGTTTAGAAAATAATGAGAAAAGTAAATTAAGAAAAACAAATTTAGAAAACACAAATATAAATAATGTATGAAAATACTGCAAAAAAATTTTTTTTTGAGTTTGAGAGAGAGAGAGAGAGAGAATATTTTTTAATTTTTTTTTTTTTAGTTTTTGGCAAATTTTTAAGCTGTTTTCTGTCCTTACCCTTCATACTGTGTCCCTGAACCTCCCCATACTGCCTTTCCAGCAGAGACATGTACCGTGGTTCTGGGTCAGCCCTCCTGGCAACCACAGAGGAAGGACAGAGCCCAAGACGCAAGAGGAGGAGTAGGTTCGCTACCCTGTTTTCACTTTCAAGTAGGTTATTTCATTTTCTTAGGATAGAAAGAAAATTAACTCTCTCCTTGCTCCTTTCCTCTTACCCCAGTACTTCTTAGTTTTAGGGGATGTTTCATGTCCCATTTCTGGTGGCATCAATTGCTAGTTCATACTTTGATTGTACCCAGTGGACAGCCCTGACCTGAGGCCAAGGATGCCTTTCATCCTGCCTGTCATGTACCACAGCCACTCTTGAAACATGCCAAGAGCTGCTAAGTGCCTACTTGCAGGAAGTAGTTTAAAACCAAGATACAGGTTAAGTTGTGACTTACAGAGAAGTAGAGTAAGATCAAATGTTCTCAAAAGTCTCCTGATATCCTTTGGAATGAACTATACATTACATTATAAACTTACCTACACATGAATTATCTATGAGATAGGATGCACAATTTGAGGAAAAATTAAAATCTTAACCAGACACAGTGGGGTAATTCCAACAACTCTAGAGGCTGAGTCAGGAGGATCACAAGTTCAAGGCCAGCCTCAGAAACTTAGTGAGACCCTGTTTCAAAATAAAAAATAAAAAGGGCTGGGGATGTGGCTCAATGGTAAAGCGCCTCTGGGTTCAACCCCCCCCACCAAAAAAAAAAAAACCAATAAAACCTTTTCCCTTTCCCTCCATTATTATGTTTATCTCCCATATCCACAAGGCAGGCTACTATTCTGAAGTTTTCTCTCTCAGACAAGCATTCCTAGCAGTTCTGTGAATCCACCCACCGGAAACCAGAGGCCATCAGAAATTGCCCATTGGGTGGCCTGTGGACTGGCAATAACCCCAAGTAGGTTTTGTGCTCATACAATGTTTTGTTTTCATTTGTTTGCTTAAGTACTGAAGATAGAACCCAGAGGCACTTTACCCCTGAGCTATACAAATCTGCAGTCCTTTTGTAAATTTTATTTTGAAACAGAGTCTCACTAAATCACAGTTTCTCCTCAAGTGTCAGCCTCCCCAGACCCTTTTATTTTATGGTAGGAATTTGAGTTTACTCTGATATTTCCCCCCAAAGACTCTTTTTTCAGAATTTTTGCATTTATCTTGGCCTGACTGCAAATTCTTACTAGTTTACTTCTAATGTCCAGCACCAAGCCTATCACATAAGAGGGACAAACAAACAAACAAAGAAGCAACAATCAATAACTGTATCTTAGTTCTTCAATGCTCTTTCTGAGGTTTGATGTAATCTTGCAATGCAGGGCATTTCTGTATATACTGAACAAATGAGAGAAGATCTGCTCTCTGTTCTCTTTCATAAAGCTGGAAATGAAACAACACCTTTTTTCTTACAAAACTTTTGGAAAGCAATTTTGTAGTAAAATGCAAGGAGAGGGCTGGGCTGTGGCTCAGGGGTAGAGTGCTCGCCTGGCACATGCAAGGCCTTGATTCGATCTCAGCACCAAATAAAAATAAATAAATAAAACAAAGGTATTGGTCCAACTACAACTAAAAAATAAATGTTTAAAAAAATGCAATGAGAATCTCTTAAAATAACTCAGACCCTGACAGAGTAATCCCATTTAAGAAATGATCTTAGCCGGGCATGGTGGCACACTCATGTAATCTCAGGGAAGCTGAGGCAGGCGGATCATGAGTTCAAGGCCAGCTTCAGCAACTTGGCAAAACTTTTGTCTCTAAATAATATTTAAAAAAAAAAAAAAAAAAAAAAAAGCTGGGGATGTGGCTCAGTGGTAAAGCGCCCCTAGGTTTAATCCCTGGGACCTCCCCCTAAAAAAAGGAAAAAAGAAATGATCTTTAGGGAAAAACCTAAAATACAGAAAAAAAGTTCTGTGCATGAAGATTTTCATTGTAGAATTGAATTGTTAATAATTACATATAATCTCTGTGAAAAGGGAGATTTAGCAATGCTTATGGAGAGTATTAAAAAATCATATAAGTTAGTTATAAAAGGATGATGAGAGAAATCCTCATGGTACTGGAACTGTTCAATATCTTGACTGTAGTGGGGGATACACAAACTTACACAGGTGATCAAATTGTATTAAAATTAATATACATATATGCATAAAGGAGTATAAGTAAAACAGAAAATCCAAATAAAATCAGTGGACTGTACCAACGTCAATATCCTGGTTGTCATATTATACTACAGCTCTGCAAAAGGGTACCCTTGGGGGAAACTGCATTAATTGTATTATGTCTTGAATGTCCATGTGAATGTACAAGTATCTCAATAAAGCTTTCAATAAAAAAAATTAAGTGGGCTAGGGATGTGGCTCAAGCAGTAGCGCGTTCATCTGGCATGCGCGAGGCACTGGGTTCGATCCTCAGCACCACATAAAAAGTAAAATAAAGATGTTGTGTCCACTGAAAACTAAAAAAAGTTAAATAATAAAAAATTCTCTCTCTCTCTCTAAAAAAAAATTTAAAATAAGTGAAATGATTAGGGTATGATGTTAAATTATACCTGCAATGCCCACCAGGGGTCTTCTTATGTTCAATTGAACATTCTGACTCACATGGCCACCTTTGGCATCATCTATTCATAGTTTGCCTGTAGGGAGGCATCAAGCATATTCTTCAGCAAGAATTACAGTCACAACCACAAGCTGACCACTCATATGTGAGGAGAGCCACTTCAGCAGTGTGTATTCACCTAGCTCAAAAGTCTCATGTCCCAGAGAAGCCAATTTATTTTTTCTTTCTTTCTTTTTTGTTGGGGGTGGAAGGGGTGGCAGTTACTAGGGATTAAACCCAGAGTTCTTTATCCCTTACCAGTAAGCTACAACCCCACCCTTTTTAGTTTTATTTTTTGAGGAGGGTCTCACTAAGTTGCTTAGGCTGAGGCTGGCCTTGAATTTATGACCCTCCTGCCTCAGCCTCCCAAGACACTAGAATTACAGGCGTGTGCCACCACATCCAACTGAAGTTGTTATGGTTTATAACAACTCTACAGCATGGCTTTGAGGTTTCCTAGGAGGGACATGCCAAGTTATAAAAGTTACCCCATTCAGGGAAATCCAAAAGATGGTTACCCATCCCCTTTTATAGTTCATTACCATATCTTTCAGTCCACATCAAATTATAAATCAGAGATCAACTTCCCCTAAGCAATTATGTCTAGTATGATTTTGATACATAATATTTTTATCTATTTACAGAAAAACTGAGCTAAGCAGTTAACCAAAAGTCAGATTCTCGGGCAGCAGGCAGCCACATGTCACTCCTTTACCTATATTAGCATAGAAATTGTAAAAATTTTATCACAATCACATATATTTAAAATTAAATATTCAGAGGGTTGGAGGCTTAGCTTAATGGTATAGTACTCGCCTAACATACGTGAAGCCCTTGGTACTATCCCTGCCCCCCTAAAAGACAAAAAAAAAGGAATATTCAAAAAACTAGAAGAACTTAATATGGACTACATGTTAATGCATGTGTTAATAGAATTACTTTTTTAAACTTTTATTTTTTAGTTGTGGATGGACACAATACCTTTATTTTATTTTTATGTGGTGCTGAGGATCGAACCCAATGCCTCATGCATGCTAGGCGAGTGCTCTACCTCTGAGCCACAACCCCAGCCCACTAAAGGATTATATTAATGTAAAATTTCTTTTAATTTCTTGGCTACAGTTTAAATATATAAAAGAATGTCCACACATACTCATGTATATATAAAAAGATTAAGCAAATGTGACTGTGAAGAACTGGCAGATCTCCATGAAGGATATGCCTGTGTTGCTTATCCTATTTTTGCAATTGTCCTGCAGGTTTGGAATTTTTCAAAATAAAATACTGAGAGAATGATATATAAATAATTAAATCTATTCATTTATAATTATAAAATTTTTATATATCATAAAAATTATTTATCATTATAAATGAAAACCCAATGTATCACTATATATAAGACACAGATATTTCAAACTGAAAATAATGATTATGACTCTAAATGGTAAATTTATGGATGAATTTCTTCCTTCTTCCTACTTTACTACATTTTAGATAATGTTTGCTTTAAAAAAAAATTTGTTTTTAATGACTGAGAACCTAGACTTCAGGAATTTAAATCTGAAAACAGGTTTTACACTTAGGTGCACTGAGAGTGTTCAACACATTTTCATACCTGAAAAGGGGCACTATTTCTTTAATGTCTTTTAGTTTCTCAACTTCTTCATCTCGAACAGGTGCACACAGCGTTCCCATCATGCCAATAATGAATTCTGCCAGCTTAGAAATGTCTAGGGCCCCATTCTCTGCTTCCTGTTTTATCAGATCCAAATCCAAGACTTCTATTATTTGGTTTCTCAATCTAGTGTGACCAGGCAGCAAGAAAGACAAGAGTGTCTACAAGAGAACACAGTTAAATTGAATCAAAATTTCTTAAACATAACTTTTTATTAAACATAAAAGAATTTATGACTATCTAAGTTAAATAAAGGCTTACCAATTGCTACTGTATGTTGTACATATTTTAACCTCTTACTAAAAAAAAAAAAATTACCCCCAAAACTGCTTACATTATTTAGAGTAGCTATTTAAACTTCTATTTCAGCTCTAAGTAGCCATCACCTGGATACAAGAAAAAACTATTACAGTAGGAAAACACATTTATTAATGTGACTCTGTGAAGCAACCATCAATTTCAGCTTCCACAGATATATTTCTTCTTTGATACTACAGCTAAAGGCACAGGAAAAAAAAAAAAAAAAAAAGATCTCTCTCACTTAAAGCCTTCTCTATCTCAAAATCTAAATCACTTTTTGGCCAATATAAATTGAATGTGCCCAAATCTATTAAAAATTTATAAATAACACATTTTGTAAAATAACTTTTGTTGTCTTTAAATTATTCTGTTATTTTCAAAATGAAATTTTCCCTATGTTTACAAGAGTAATAATACCTTCAGGTTACCATGATTTGCTTAAAAATTTTTTTTAACAAGGACACTAAGCCAAAAATACTCAATTCACATTCCGCAGGTAATTTAACTTCTTGATCTGTCAATTTCTTTAAAGTCTCTGGCACAGTAATGAAAAGAGATTGAATAAGCACTGCTAAGTACTTCATCTCACCTCTTTGATCTCTCCTACTAGTTTGATGGCATGGTCATATGTCGGGGGGTCTTCACTCAACTGGCAACTCAAGCAATCCCAAAAAGCTTTATGTACAATCTCCTTTACTTTCTTCTCCAAGCTGGAGATGATGAGGTGGGGGGAGAATCAAAAAACAAAATACCTGAATTTCAAACAATTTTCAAAAATCACAAATCCTAGGGTAACAAATCTTAATATAAGACTCAAGAAAAAAACCTCGCAGATATACTTGATGACATAATCTATTTTTACATATTTATTTATTCATTTATTTTGTAGTACAAGGGATCGGACCCAGGGCCTCTTGCAAGTTAGGCAAGCAATCTGTTCCACTGACCTATATCCCCAGCCCTTTTTATTTTATTTTGAGACAGGGTCTTGCTAAATAATACAGGCTGCCCTCAAACTTGCAATCCTCCTGTCTCACCCTCCCAAGCAGATAGGATTATAGCCATGCACCATAGTGTCAGCTGACATTATTTTTAGTTTGATTTTTTTTTCAGTATGTGCCTCATTAGGAAGAATAACTTCCAACTAATTTGGTAGCCAACATTAATCCAATTAATGGCATTTAATAATAACAAGACTACTGGAGCTAGGTGTGGTGGCATACGCCTGTAATCCCAGTGGCTCAGGAGGCTGAGGCAGGAGGATCGCAAGCTCAAAGCCAGCCTCAGCAACAGTGAGGGTGCTAAGCAACTCAATAAGACACTGTCTCTAAGTAAAATACCAAAAAAAGCCAAGGATATAACTCAGTGGTTGAGTACCCCAGAGTGCCCTGGTACCCTCCCCCGCCAAAAAAAAAAAGACTATTGGAAAATTCAGAGTGAATATTTTTAATTCCCCAATATTGGTTTCCCAAGATACGTATAATTAAGCAGTTAATTCAGCATATAAACGGTGGTAAAGCTTTAGTTCCAAAAATATCCTATTTCCCAATAACATCTGGGACAACAGTTTAAGTATCAAACTATAAGAACTTATAGTCAATGACTTGTTAAAATCAATCTTGACAGTAAAACAATTCTTTTTTTCTTCCCCCTGTGGTGCTGGGGATGGAAACCTAGGCTTCACGAACACTAAGTACACTATACCAATGACCTACATTCCCAGCCCACCTATACTTCATTGTTAATGTGAAATAGCACTATCTTTGCAAATATATAAGAAATATCCCTAACGTCATAATTAGAAGCTTCCTATAGGTGATGCGATAGCTCACCAACCCAGCAGCCATCTAATCAGAATCCTAGCATTTTACAGTTTGACAGCAATGACTCTACCTAGGAACGAATTTAAGAAAGTGATCTAATAAGCCAACCATAGCAGTTCCACTCCTTTTGCCTGGTTTAACTTTCTCAAACGCATAGCTGGGGAAGCATGTGACCAAATCTAACTACCAAAAAACAGGAAATATCTGCCTCACGCCTCCAAAGAATAATATTCCTTCCTAACAAAAGGAGAACCTTAGCCTACCCAACCTTTCCCTCTTGCCTGGAATGCTGGTGTATATTGGGAGGCTTAGGAGCTGCAGTATCCACCCGAGACCACGAAGAACAGGCCAAGAGAATTACAGACATATCCATTGAGAGTCCATCATCAATGAACTGTTTTGAAAGAAGAGCACCTACACTCCTATTCCCTTGATTCTAAAACAATTTTTTTTTGCATTTTAACGTCTCTGAAATATGATTTTTCTTAAACTCAATGGCATTTTTACAATTATAATGGATAGTGTTTCTTCTTATGACAATAAGGTACACCTTACAATCAATAGAATTTTAGATTCAATAAAAAATTATATGTGCCAGACACTAGGGAGAGAGAGAATAACCCAACATCCTTGTCATCATGGAGTTTACAATCTGGTGAAAAATGCAAGGAAACCAATAACCATAGTGCAATGGGACAGTCACCAAGAAATGAAGGAACTGGTGCAATGAAAACCCAGATGGGATGCTAAAGCCAACTGTAGGACAAAGCTGACATGAAAGGTTTTCACAGCTTTCTAGATCCTTTATTTGCATTTTTAAAAAAATTTTTTAGTTGTAGATGGGCACAATACCTTTATTTTATGTATTTATTTTTATGTGATGCTGAGAATGAACCCAGTGCCTCACAAGTGCTAGGCAAGCGCTTCACCACTGAGCCACACCCCCAGGCCCCTCAATTTGCATTTTGCAGCATTAGTGGCCTTGAGATTCACTTTCAACTCTAGTAATTTCTAATATAGGAATAATTTTTAGCAATAATGTATGAAAGGAAAATGTACTTGAATACATTGGCATCAACTCTAGGAATGATTTTCAAAACTGAGAAAAGTCAGTGTTCTACTAAACGAGGTAACCCAGTAACCATCTTACCTGCCTTCCGGTAATTCAACTGGTTTAATCTGAAAGTCTCTGTTTACTGCAATTTCATGGGCTAGAGCCATGTTGGTGACTCCTTTCGCTGTCTCTAGGAGTTCTTCTACCGTCACAAATTGAGGAGGACTAGCTGTAACAAAAACCCAGTGTAAGAGATTTGCTTCTCTTCACTAGAATTTCTGTTAAAATACAGAAAAGGCAGTGGTTCTGTTACCAGGCAATAATTTCAATTATGTATCTTTTAAAATATTCCAACATTTTCAAATAGCAATAGAGTTTTAGCTATTTCACTGTCATTTTTTTCCTTTAAAGTAGAATTCTAGAAGCAGCAATCATGTACAATACTCAAAACATCTGGTATTTACTAAGAATGGTCAACAGAAAATAATTACAGTAAATTGAGATTTCAAAAAACAATTTAGGGCTGGGGTTGTGGCTCAGTGGTAGAGCGTTTGCCTAGCAAGTGTGAGGCACAGGGTTCGATTCTCAGCACTACATAGAAATAAATGAATAAAATAAAGGTCCATCAACGTCTAAAAATTTTTTTAAAAAACTTAATTTATAGATTTTTATTTTTCCAATAAGCCAAGGGCTTATGTTTTAACCCTTCTGCCTCCTGTCTTCCCTAAAAGGGAAAAAAAAAAAGGCGATACCAGATATGTTCTCTCTTATTTGCAGTGGTTCTGGTGCTGTGGAACAAAGCCAGGGCCTTGTGCATGCTAGGCAAGTGCTCTACTACAGAGCTACACCCCAGCCCTTAACATCTCTTTTGAAAGGAGAGCAGAATGAATCAGACATTATTACCCTATGTACATATATAACTATAGGACTGGTGGCATTCTGCATCATATAAAACGAGAAGACGGAGAAATTATACTTCATTGTTTATGATGTATCAAAGTGCATTCGACTGTCATATATGACTCATCAAAACAAATTTAAAATTTTTTTAAAATCTCTTTTTCTAGATTTCTATCTTGATAAAGATTTATCTTCCAGAGAGTTAGTTCTCAAGTCTCCCCAGGTGTTCTGCACCAAGGAACAAGAGGTCATTCTTAACTCCTAAAAAAAACCCGACAGTTCTCTAACTTCTGCAGAATCAGAGGAAGTGTTTATGATTTAGCAGGTCTGGGACAGACCTGGAGAACCTGCATTTCTAACAAGTCTCGGTTGATGCTGATGGTCCCAGAAACCACAGTTTGAGAAGTATTGGCCTAGAAGATGACATTACTTTTATGGGATGATAATAAGATCTGGCCTTAAAATCAGATAAGCAATATTAGTGGTTGTCCAGGGTTTAACAGATATAAAGTTCTTAAGTTACTTTCCTTCTTTTATTCTTCTGCCCTTCCCCTCCCGGCCAAAAAGGAACCGAATCTGAGAATTGGTCTTAACATTGTCTGCTAAAAACCTTTATTTATTCACATAAAGGGAAGTTGGGGAAAATGTTCAAAATTCCTCCTCAGCATCTTCAGAGAATGTTAATAAGAATACAAAACCATTTAAATTGCCTTCCTGAGTATTAAAAATATAATATATATCCAAAATCAAAGCCCAGATATCTTAATAATACTGTGACTTGAAAACAGATATCAATTTTCCCCAAATCCATCTATTCATTAAACACATCCTAGTCAAAATCCCAGCAGACTCTTGTTGAAATTGCCAAACTGGTTCTAAAATTTGTCTGAAAATGCAGAAGACCTAGAAAAGTCAAAACTACTTTGAAAAGAAGAATTAAAATGGAGAATGTACAGTAATTTCAAGGTTTACTGTAAAACTACAGTCATCATCAAGACAGTGTGTTTTGGCATATAGACATACAGGTAGGTGAATTGAACAAGACGGAGAATCCAGAAATAGCCTGATATATAGGCATATACACATATGTATACTTAACACTAATATTCATATATATATATATGTAGTCAATAAGGCAAGGATAGTTTTTTAAATTAAATATTTTTAATATTAAGTATTTTCTACATTAGATATTTCTAGAACAAACAATTAGATATCTAATGTGCAAAACAATGACCCTTAATTCTTTCCTCCATGATAGCCAGGTGTGTTGGCACATGCATGTAATCCCAATGACTGGGGAGGCTGAGGTAGGAGGATCTCGAATTCAAAGCCAGGCTCAGCAACTTAGCAAGGCCCTAAGAACCTTGGTAAGACCATGTCCAAATAAAAAGTAATGAGGGCTAGGGATGTAGCTCAGTAGTAAAGCACCGCTGGGTTCAATTCCCAGTAGCAAAAAGAAATCTTTCCTCTATGATAAACAAAAACTAAAAATGTATTATTAAGAGCTAAGATAAGGGCTGGAGTTGTAGCTTAGTGGTAGAGGGCTTGCCTAGCATGTGTGAGCCACTGGGTTCAATCCTCAGTACCACATAAAAACAAACAAAATAAAGGTATTGTGTCCATCTACAACTAAAAATAAAATTTTTTTAAAGAGCTAAGATAATAAGATTTCTGAAGGGAAGCACAGATGACAATCTTTGTGATCTCTGATTAGGTAGATTTCTTATGATACAAAAAGTTCAAACTATAAAAAAAATGGTAAGTTAGACTATTAAAACTTGTACTCTGAAAAACTCTTTATATATATATATGGTTGTTGATGGACCTTTATTTTATTTATTTGTATGTAGTGCTGAGAATCAAACCCGGTGTATCATGCATGCTAGGCAAGCGCACTACCACTGAGCCACAACCCCAGCCCCTGAAAAACTCTTAATGAAAAAGAAAAAGAAAAAAAAAGGCATGGTATAGAAAAGGAGAAAATATCTGCAAAACATATTGCTGAAAAAGGACCTGTACATAGAATATCATATAAAAAAGGAACAACTTGGCTGGGCACGGTGGCACAAACCTATAATCCCAGCAACTGGGGAGGTTGAGGCAGGAGGATCGTGAGTTCAAAGCCAGCCACAGCAACTTAGCGAGGGCCTCAGCAACTTAGAGAGACCCTGTCTTTAAATTAAAAAAATTTTTTTTAAAAAAAAAGGGCTGGGGATTTGACTCAATGGGTAAGGGACCCTGGATTCAATCTCTTATACAAAACCAACCCAAACCAAACTAAACTTAAATTCAAACATTTCTCTAAAGACATAAATGGCTGGTCAGTACATGAAAAGATGCTTACCATCATGAATATTAGGAAAATGCAAATTAAAATTATGGTGAGATACCAATACATATCTATTAGGACAGCCAAAATTAGAAAGATAAACACACCAAGTATTGACATAGAGGTAAAATATTTGGAATAATCATACCTGGGAGGGGAAACGTGAAATAAAATAGTTACTGTGGGAATCAGTCTGGTGGTTTCTTATTAAGTAAAATATATATTTACCATATGACCCAGAAATTCCACTCCCAGGTATTTACCTAAGAAAACAAAAAACAAATGGCCATGCAGACTTCTACTCAAATGTTAATGGGCTAGCACAGACATGCACACCTGTAATCCCAGTGGCTCTGGAGGCTGAGGCAGAAGGATCCAGAGTTCAAAGCCAGCCTCAGCAAAAGTGAGGCACTAAGCAACTCAGTAGTGAGATCCTGACTCTAAATAAAATACAAAAAAGGGCTGGGGATGTGGCTCACTGGTTCAGTGTCCCTGAGTTCAATCCCCCCCCCCAAAAAAATGTTAATGGGAGCTTTATTAATAACAGTCAAAACCTGGAGCTAATCCAAATGTCCATCAATTGCAGAATAGATAAACAAATTGTGTGTAACCATACCATCAAATAGTACTCAGCAATAAAAAGAAATTGTTGATATATGCAAAACACAGATGAATTACAAAATAATTTTTCCTAGTGAAATAAATCAGATATAAAATATTACATTCACAATGATTCCATTCATATTATATCATAAAAAAGGCAATATGATAGTGACAGAAAGCAGATCAGTGGTTGGGAAGCACAGGAGGTAAGGAAAGAGATTTGCTGCCAGGGGCATTAAGGAATTGTGGTAGATGACAGAAATGTTCTGGCAGCTCATGATTGTGGTGGTAGTCACAAATCATATGGACTTAAAATTGGTGCATGTCATTATATACAAATTATACATTAATAAAGTTAGTTTTAAAATTCTAAGACACTCAAATAGGGATGTGAGATATATGAATATCAAATATATAAATACGGGGCTGGGGATGTGTCTCAAGTGGCAGAGCGCTTGCCTGGCATGCATGGGGAACTGGGTTCAATTCTTAGCACCACATAAAAATAAAATAAAGATATTATGTTCACCTAAAACTAAAAAATAAATATTTAAAAAAACACAAAATATATAAATACACATATAAGCATTTTATCTCAGATAACATATTTGAAATACATAATTGAGATATACACAAAGATTACTAATACTTTGCTTCAAGCTTGTATTTTCTGTTACCAATTATCTACAAATGGAACTTCTGCTGTGGATATATCAGTATCAAGCTTCAGGAGTTATTAAACTCCACTAAGTTCTTGCTTCCCCCACCTCTACTTCACTGGCACTGGGGATTGAAGTCAAGAGTTTCTTTACCATTGAGCTACATCCCCAGTTGTGTGTATTTTGTTTTGTTGTGATTTTTTTTTTTTTGAGAAAGGGTCTTGCAAAGTTGCCAAGGCTGGCCTCAATCTCTGTCCTCCTGCCTCAGCAGTTGTACACAATGGTGAGATTCATGGTTACATATTCATACATGCACACAATATCACAATGTAATTTGGCCAATAGAATTCCCTAGTATTTCCCTTGCCCCTCCCCTCCTCCCTCCCAGCGGTCCCTTTCTTTTAATTTTTTAATTTTGAGACAGGGTCTTGCTAAAATGCCCAGGCTGGCCTTGAACTTACAATCCTCATGCCTCAGCCTCCTGAGTAGCTAGGGTTATATGCATGCACTATTGTACCCAGAAAACTCCATTAGGTTCTTGTCTCTAAAAAAGAAATTCAGACATTTTCATCAGGGCTTCAAAGTTCTTTTTTACCTTAACTGTGCAAAAATAAAGTCTGATATAAAATTTATGAAAACTTGCTATTTCTCAACAAGTTCAGGCATCTGGGTAATAAGGAACACTGTTGGTTGATTACCTAGTCATTAAGCAGTGGAGGAGACTAGGGCTGTAGC